GCTTTTGGATTCTGTTGGCTTTAGGAGCTTTAGGACTCATTCTGTATTGTAGTTGTTATTAGCATCAAACCCTATGACTTTGTATGTTTTTTGTACATTGAGTTATAAAGGCTAAAAACACCCCTATAATGAATGAATTACAGATTGAATGTTGTGTAAAGAAAGGAAGTTGGTTTTCTTTGAAATAATCTGTCATTTAAAACACAATTGGACAGAAGTACATAGAACAAAGAAATCATAAAATGTGTTTGTTGTAATTGTTTGTTTATCTATTTAAGATTCTTTTAATACATTGTTCTCATAGTGATTCCAGCATTTATATTATAGAGAAAGTAATAGCTATGGTGGGTAGCAACATTAGTACAAAAGGTCATCACATGCTTCTTCTGTGAGTAAGTCACTGTATTGTTCGTTTCATAGATTCAAATGAAGAAAAGATGGGTAGCAGATGGATCATATCAATTGTTCTTTTAATAACAGGTAAGTGGAATGATGTTAAACTGGTTGCCTTTAAGTATATTCATACAAAATATTGGAATAGGTGTGGCGAATAACAAAACATAAGGTTAAGGTGGAGTTTTTGACTGCACCTTCTTTTTTCGATGTGGTAATGTACTGTTAAGCAAAAGGTTTATATATATGGTTACCTACACTTTAATGTTTATTTATGCAGTAATTATGAAAAGTGACTTTGCTACTTCACTTAAAGTATAACATTTTATTTTATACTGCTGCAAATACAACAGCAACAACTGCATCAACTGCTGTGACAACATCTGCAGTAACAACAACTGCTTCATCAACACCTGCTCCAGTAACTACTGCATCAACAACAAAACCTCTTCTGACAACTGCTGCAAGAACTGCATCAACTACCGGACCTGCTCTGACAACAACATCAGCTGCAACAACATCAAGTACGGCAACTGCTGCTACAACATCTGCTGTAACAACACCTGCTCTAACATCAACTGCAGCAACAATGACACCTGCTGTGACAACAAACCCTGCTTTGGTAACAACACCTGCTCTGACAACCCCTGCTATGACAACATATGCAGTAACGACACCTTCTCCAGTAACGACTGCAGCAACAACAACACCCACTGTTACAACAATACCTTCTGCATCAACGACACCTACTCTGACACCTGCAGCAATAATTGCATTAACAACAACATCTGCTCTGATAACAACATCTGCTGCAACAAATATATCAAGTACAACACCTGCTATGACAACATCTGCAGCAAAAATTTCATCAACTACAACAACTGGTCCGACAACAACATCTGCTGTAACAACTGAATCAAATACAGCAACTGCTCCGACAACAACATCTGCTGCAACAATAGCAACAACCAATGCCTTAACAACAGCTTCTTTGACAACAACTGCATCACCAACACCTGCTCAGACCACAACTGAAGCAACAACAAGTGCTCAGACAACAATATCTGCTGCATCTGCAACTCCGTCAACAACACCTGCTCCAGTAACGACTGAAGTAACGACACCCACTTTTACAACACCTGCTGCATCAACGACACCCACTCTAACAACTGCAGCAACAACTGCATCAACAACAACACCTGCTCTGATAACAACTGCTGAAACAATTGCATCAAGTCCAGCAACTGGTTCGACAACAACATCTGCTGCAACAACTATATCAAGTACACCTGCTATGAACACATCTGCAGCAACAGCAACTGTGTCAACGACACCTGCTCCAGTAACGACTGCAGAAACGACACCCGCTGTTATAACAATACCTGCTGCATCAACGACACCTACTCTGACAGCCGCAGCAATAACTGCATCAACAAAAAAACCTCCTCTGACAACATCTGCAGCAACAGCAAGTGCGTCAACGACACCTGCTCCAGTAACGACTGCAGAAATGACACCCGCAGTTATAACAATACCTGCTGCATCAACGACACCTACTCTGACAGCCGCAGCAATAACTGCATCAACAACAAAACCTCCTCTGACAACATCTGCAGCAACAGCAAGTGCGTCAACGACACCTGCTCCAATAACGACTGCAGAAATGACACCCACTGTTACAACAATACCTGCTGCTTCAACGACACATACACTGACTAGTGCAGCAATAACTGCATCAACAACACCTGCTATGACAACATCTGCAGCAACAGCAACTGTGTCAACGACACCTGCTGCAGTAACGACTGCAGAAACGACACCTGCTGTTACAACAATACCTGCTGCGTCAACGACACCTACACTGACAAGTGCAGCAATAACTGCATCAACAACACCTGCTCTGACAACAACTGCTGCAACAATTTCATCAACTACAACAACTGGTCCGACAACAACATCTGCTGTAACAACTGAATCAAATACAGCAACTGCTCCGACAACAACATCTGCTGCAACAGCAGCAACAAGCAATGCCTTAAAAACAGCTTCTTTGACAACAACTGCATCACCAACACCTGTTCAGACCACAACTGCAGCAACAACAAGTGCTCAGACAACAATATCTGCTGCATCTGCATTAACAGCAACTCCGTCAACAACACCTGCTGCAGTAACGACTGCAGAAACGACACCCACTGTTACAACAATACCTGCTGCGTCAACGACACCTACACTGACAAGTGTAGCAATAACTGCATCAACAACAACACCTGCTCTGATAACAACTGCTGAAACAATTGCATCAAGTACAGCAACTGCTTCGACAACAACATCTGCTGCAACAACTATATCAAGTACAACACCTGCTATGACAACATCTGCAGCAACAGCAACTGTGTCAACGACACCTGCTGCAGTAACGACTGCAGAAACGACACCCGCTGTTACAACAATACCTGCTGCATCAACGACACCTACTCTGACAGCCGCAGAAATAACTGCATCAACAACAAAACCTCCTCTGACAACAACTGCTGCAACAATTTCATCAACTAATACAACTGGTCCGACAACAACATCTGCTGTAACAGCAGCAACAACCAATGCCTTAATTACAGCTTCTGTGACAACAACTGCATCACCAACACCTGCTCAGACCACAACTGCAGATACAACAAGTGCTCAGACAACAATATCTGCTGCATCTGCAGTAACAGCAACTCAGTCAACAACACCTGCTCCAGTAACGACTGAAGTAACGACACCCGCTGTTACAACACCTGCTGCATCAACGACATCCACTCTAACAACTGCAGCAACAACTGCATCAACAACAACACCTGCTCTGATAACAACTGCTGAAACAATTGCATCAAGTCCAGCAACTGGTTCGACAACAACATCTGCTGCAACAACTATATCAAATACAACACCTGCTATGACAACATCTGCAGCAACAGCAACTGTGTCAACGACACCTGCTGCAGTAACGACTGCAGAAACGACACCCGCTGTTACAACAATACCTGCTGCGTCAACGACACCTACACTGACAAGTGTAGCAATAACTGCATCAACAACAACACCTGCTCTGATAACAACTGCTGAAACAATTGCATCAAGTACAGCAACTGCTTCGACAACAACATCTGCTGCAACAACTGTATCAAGTACAACACCTGCTATGACAACATCTGCAGCAACAGCAACTGTGTCAACGACACCTGCTCCAGTAACGACTGCAGAAACAACACCCGCTGTTACAACAATACCTGCTGCGTCAACGACACCTACACTGACAAGTGTAGCAATAACTGCATCAACAACAACACCTGCTCTGATAACAACTGCTGAAACAATTGCATCAAGTACAGCAACTGCTTCGCCAACAACATCTGCTGCAACAACTATATCAAGTACAACTCCTGCTATGACAACATCTGCATCAACAGCAACTGTGTCAACGACACCTGCTGCTGTAACGACTGCAGAAACGACACCCGCTGTTACAACAATACCTGCTGCATCAACGACACCTACACTGACAACTGCAGCAATAACTGCATCAACAACAACACCTGCTCTGATAACAACTGCTGAAACAATTGCATTAAGTCCAGAAACTGGTTCGACAACAACATCTGCTGCAACAACTATATCAAGTACAACACCTGTTATGACAACATCTGCAGCAAAAGCAACTGAGTCAATGACAGCTGCTGCAGTAACGACTGCAGAAACGACACCCGCTGTTACAACAATACCTGATGCGTCAACGACACCTACACTGACAAGTGTAGCAATAACTGCATCAACAACAACACCTGCTCTGATAACAACTGCTGAAACAATTGCATCAAGTACAGCAACTGGTTCGACAACAACATCTGCTGCAACAACTATATCAAGTACAACACCTGCTATGACAACATGTGCAGCAACAGCAACTGTGTCAACGACACCTGCTCCAGTAACGACTGCAGAAACGACACCCGCTGTTATAACAATACCTGCTGCATCAACGACACCTACTCTGACAGCCGCAGCAATAACTGCATCAACAACAAAACCTCCTCTGACAACATCTGCAGCAACAGCAAGTGCGTCAACGACACCTGCTCCAGTAACGACTGCAGAAATGACACCCGCTGTTATAACAATACCTGCTGCATCAACGACACCTACTCTGACAGCCGCAGCAATAACTGCATCAACAACAAAACCTCCTCTGACAACATCTGCAGCAACAGCAAGTGCGTCAACGACACCTGCTCCAATAACGACTGCAGAAATGACACCCACTGTTACAACAATACCTGCTGCGTCAACGACACCTACACTGACAACTGCATCAACAACTGCATCAACAACAACACCTGCTCTGATAACAACTGCTGAAACAATTGCATCAAGTACAGCAACTGCTTCGACAACAACATCTGCTGCAACAACTATATCAAATACAACACCTGCTATGACAACATCTACAGCAACAACAACACCCGCAGTGACAACAACACTTGCTCTGGCCACAAGACCTGGTCAGACAACACCTGCTATGACAACAGCACCTTCTGTGACAACATCTGCAGCAACAGCAAGTGCGTCAACGACACCTGCTCCAGTAACGACTGCAGAAATGACATCCACTTTTACAACAATACATGCTGCCTCAACGACACCTACACTGACAAGTGCAGCAATAACTGCATCAACAACACCTGCTCTGACAACAACTGCTGCAACAATTTCATCAACTACAACAACTGGTTCGACAACAACATCTGCTGTAACAACTGAATCAAATACAGCAACTGCTCCGACAACAACATCTGCTGCAACAGCAGCAACAACCAATGCCTTAACAACAGCTCCTTTGACAACAACTGCATCACCAACACCTGCTCAGACCACAACTGCAGCAAAAACAAGTGCTCAGACAACAATATCTGCTGCATCTGCAGTAACAGCAACTCCGTCAACAACACCTGCTCCAGTAACGACTGAAGTAACGACACCCACTTTTACAACACCTGCTGCATCAACGACACCCCCTCTAACAACTGCAGCAACAACTGCATCAACAACAACACCTGCTCTGATAACAACTGCTGAAACAATTGCATCAAGTCCAGCAACTGGTTCGACAACAACATCTGCTGCAACAACTATATCAAGTACAACTCCTGCTATGACAACATCTGCAGCAACAGCAACTGTGTCAACGACACCTGCTGCAGTAACGACTGCAGAAACGACACCCGCTGTTACAACAATACCTGCTGCGTCAACGACACCTACACTGACAAGTGTAGCAATAACTGCATCAACAACAACACCTGCTCTGATAACAACTGCTGAAACAATTGCATCAAGTACAGCAACTGCTATGACAACAACATCTGCTGCAACAACTGCTGAAACAATTGCATCAAGTACAGCAACTGCTTCGACAACAACATCTGCTGCAACAACTATATCAAGTACAACACCTGCTATGACAACATCTGCAGCAACAGCAACTGTGTCAACGACACCTTCTGCAGTAACGACTGCAGAAACGACACCCGCTGTTACAACAATACCTGCTGCGTCAACGACACCTACACTGACAAGTGTAGCAATAACTGCATCAACAACAACACCTGCTCTGACAACATCTGCAGCAACAACAACACCCACTGTGACAACAACACCTGCTGCGTCAACGACACCTACACTGACAACTGCAGCAATAACTGCATCAACAACAACACCCGCTGTGACAACAACACTTGCTCTGGCCACAAGACCTGGTCAGACAACACCTGCTATGACAACAGCACCTTCTGTGACAACATCTGCAGTAACAACAACTACGTCAACGACACCTGCTCCAGTAACGACTGCAGAAACAACAACACTTGCTCTGGCCACAACACCTGGTCAGACAACACGTGCTATGACAACATCAACTGCATCAACAACAACACCTGCTCTGATAACAACTGCTGAAACAATTGCATCAAGTCGAGCAACTGCTTCGACAACAACATCTGCTGCAACAACTATATCAAGTACACCTGCTATGACAACATCTGCAGCAACAGCAACTGTGTCAACGACACCTGCTGCAGTAACGACTGCAGAAACGACACCCGCGGTTACAACAATACCTGCTGCGTCAACGACACCTACACTGACAAGTGTAGCAATAACTGCATCAACAACAACACCTGCTCTGATAACAACTGCTGAAAAAATTGCATCAAGTACAGCAACTGCTTCGACAACAACATCTGCTGCAACAACTATATCAAGTACAACACCTGCTATGAAAACATCTGCAGCAACAGCAACTGTGTCAACGACACCTTCTCCAGTAACGACTGCAGAAACGACACCCGCTGTTATAACAATACCTGCTGCATCAACGACACCTACTCTGACAGCCGCAGCAATAACTGCATCAACAACAACACCTCCTCTGACAACATCTGCAGCAACAGCAAGTGCGTCAACGACACCTGCTCCAGTAACGACTGCAGAAATAACACCCACTTTTACAACAATACATGCTGCGTCAACGACACCTACACTGACAAGTGTAGCAATAACTGCATCAACAACAACACCTGCTCTGACAAAATCTGCAGCAACAACAACATCCACTGTGACAACAACACTTGCTGCGTCAACGACACCTACACTGACAACTGCAGGAACAACTGCATCAACAACAACACCTGCTCTGATAACAACTGCTGAAACAATTGCATCAAGTCGAGCAACTGGTTCGACAACAACATCTGCTGCAACAACTATATCAAGTACACCTGCTATGACAACATCTGCAGCAACAGCAACTGTGTCAACGACACCTGCTGCAGTAACGACTGCAGAAACGACACCCGCGGTTACAACAATACCTGCTGCGTCAACGACACCTACACTGACAAGTGTAGCAATAACTGCATCAACAACAACACCTGCTCTGACAACATCTACAGCAACAACAACACCCGCAGTGACAACAACACTTGCTCTGGCCACAAGACCTGGTCAGACAACACCTGCTATGACAACAGCACCTTCTGTGACAACATCTGCTGCAACAGCAAGTCCGTCAACGACACCTGCTCCAGTAACGACTGCAGAAATGACACCCACTTTTACAACAATACATGCTGCCTCAACGACACCTACACTGACAAGTGCAGCAATAACTGCATCAACAACACCTGCTCTGATAACAACTGCTGAAACAATTGCATCAAGTACAACAACTGGTTCGACAACAACATCTGCTGTAACAACTGAATCAAATACAGCAACTGCTCCGACAACAACATCTGCTGCAAAAGCAACAACAACCAATGCCTTAACAACAGCTCCTTTGACAACAACTGCATCACCAACACCTGCTCAGACCACAACTGCAGCAAAAACAAGTGCTCAGACAACAATATCTGCTGCATCTGCAGTAACAGCAACTCCGTCAACAACACCTGCTCCAGTAACGACTGAAGTAACGACACCCACTTTTACAACACCTGCTGCATCAACGACACTCCCTCTAACAACTGCAGCAACAACTGCATCAACAACAACACGTGCTCTGATAACAACTGCTGAAACAATTGCATCAAGTCCAGCAACTGGTTCGACAACAACATCTGCTGCAACAACTATATCAAGTACAACTCCTGCTATGACAACATCTGCAGCAACAGCAACTGTGTCAACGACACCTGCTGCAGTAACGACTGCAGAAACGACACCCGCTGTTACAACAATACCTGCTGCGTCAACGACACCTACACTGACAAGTGTAGCAATAACTGCATCAACAACAACACCTGCTCTGAAAACAACTGCTGAAACAATTGCATCAAGTACAGCAACTGGTTCGACAACAACATCTGCTGCAACAACTATATCAAGTACAACACCTGCTATGACAACATCTGCAGCAACAGCAACTGTGTCAACGACACCTTCTGCAGTAACGACTGCAGAAACGACACCCGCTGTTACAACAATACCTGCTGCGTCAACGACACCTACACTGACAAGTGTAGCAATAACTGCATCAACAACAACACCTGCTCTGACAACATCTGCAGCAACAACAACACCCACTGAGACAACAACACCTGCTGCGTCAACGACACCTACACTGACAACTGCAGCAATAACTGCATCAACAACAACACCTGCTCTGACAACAACTGCTGAAACAATTGCATCAAATCCAGCAACTGGTTCGACAACAACATCTGCTGCAACAACTATATCAAGTACAACACCTGCTATGACAACATCTACAGCAACAGCTACTGTGTCAACGACACCTGCTGCAGTAACGACTGCAGAAACGACACCCGCGGTTACAACAATACCTGCTGCGTCAACGACACCTACACTGACAAGTGTAGCAATAACTGCATCAACAACAACACCTGCTCTGACAACATATGCAGCAACAACAACACCCGCTGTGACAACAACACTTGCTCTGGCCACAAGACCTGGTCAGACAACACCTGCTATGACAACAGCACCTTCTGTGACAATATCTGCAGTAACAACAACTACGTCAACGACACCTGCTCCAGTAACGACTGCAGAAACAACAACACTTGCTCTGGCCACAACATCTGGTCAGACAACACGTGCTATGACAACATCAACTGCATCAACAACAACACCTGCTCTGATAACAACTGCTGAAACAATTGCATCAAGTACAGTAACTGCTTCGACAACAACATCTGCTGCAACAACTATATCAAGTACAACACCTGCTATGACAACATCTGCAGCAACAGCAACTGTGTCAACGACACCTGCTCCAGTAACGACTGCAGAAACGACACCCGCTGTTACTACAATACCTGCTGCATCAACGACACCTACACTGACAAGTGTAGCAATAACTGCATCAACAACAACACCTGCTCTGATAACAACTGCTGAAACAATTGCATCAAGTACAGCAACTGGTTCGACAACAACATCTGCTGCAACAACTATATCAAGTACAACACCTGCTATGACAACATCTGCAGCAACAGCAACTGTGTCAACGACACCTGCTCCAGTAACGACTGCAGAAACGACACCCGCTGTTATAACAATACCTGCTGCATCAACGACACCTACTCTGACAGCCGCAGCAATAACTGCATCAACAACAAAACCTCCTCTGACAACATCTGCAGCAACAGCAAGTGCGTCAACGACACCTGCTCCAGTAACGACTGCAGAAATAACACCCACTTTTACAACAATACATGCTGCGTCAACGACACCTACACTGACAAATGCAGCAATAACTGCATCAACAACACCTGCTCTGACAACTGCTGCCACAATTTCATCAACTACAACAACTGGTCCGACAACAACATCTGCTGTAACAACTGAATCAAATACAGCAACTGCTCCAACAACAACATCTGCTGCAACAGCAGCAACAAACAATGCCTTAACAACAGCTTCTTTGACAACAACTGCATCACCAACACCTGCTCAGACCACAACTGCAGCAAAAACAAGTGCTCAGACAACAATATCTGCTGCATCTGCAGTAACAGCAACTCCGTCAACAACACCTGCTCCAGTAACGACTGAAGTAACGACACCCACTTTTACAACACCTGCTGCATCAACGACACCCACTCTAACAACTGCAGCAACAACTGCATCAACAACAACACGTGCTCTGATAACAACTGCTGAAACAATTGCATCAAATCCAGCAACTGGTTCGACAACAACATCTGCTGCAACAATTATATCAAGTACAACTCTTGCTATGACAACATCTGCAGCAACAGCAACTGTGTCAACGACACCTGCTGCAGTAACGACTGCAGAAACGACACCCGCTGTTACAACAATACCTGCTGCGTCAATGACACCTACACTGACAAGTGTAGCAATAACTGCATCAACAACAACACCTGCTCTGACAAAATCTGCAGCAACAACAACACCCACTGTGACAACAACACTTGCTGCGTCAACGACACCTACACTGACAACTGCAGCAACAACTGCATCAACAACAACACCTGCTCTGATAACAACTGCTGAAACAATTGCATCAAGTCGAGCAACTGGTTCGACAACAACATCTGCTGCAACAACTATATCAAGTACACCTGCTATGACAACATCTGCAGCAACTGTGTCAACGACACCTGATGCAGTAACGACTGCAGAAACGACACCTGCGGTTACAACAATACCTGCTGCGTCAACGACACCTACACTGACAAGTGTAGCAATAAGTGCATCAACAACAACACCTGCTCTGATAACAACTGCTGAAACAATTGCATCAAGTCCAGCAACTGCTTCGACAACAACATCTGCTGCAACAACTATATCAAGTACAACACCGCTATGACAACATCTGCAGCAACAACTATATCAAGTACAACACCTGCTATGACAACATCTGCAGCAACAGCAACTGTGTCAACGACACCTGGTGCAGTAACGACTGCAGAAACGACACCCGCTGTTACAACAATACCTGCTGCGTCAGCGACACCTACACTGACAAGTGTAGCAATAACTGCATCAACAACAACACCTGCTCTGACAACATCTGCAGCAACAACAACACCCACTGTGACAACAACACTTGCTGCGTCAACGACACCTACACTGACAACTGCAGCAACAACTGCATCAACAACAACACCTGCTCTGATAACAACTGCTGAAACAATTGCATCAAGTACAGCAACTGCCTCGACAACAACATCTGCTGCAACAACTATATCAAGTACACCTGCTATGAACACATCTGCAGCAAAAGCAACTGTGTCAACGACACCTGATGCAGTAACGACTGCAGAAACGACACCCACTGTTACAACAATACCTGCTGCGTCAACGACACCTACACTGACAAGTGTAGCAATAACTGCATCAACAACAACACCTGCTCTGATAACAACTGCTGAAACAATTGCATCAAGTACAGCAACTGCCTCGACAACAACATCTGCTGCAACAACTATATCAAGTACAACACCTGCTATGACAACATCTGCAGCAACAACAACTGTGTCAACGACACCTGCTCCAGTAACGACTGCAGAAACGACACCCGCTGTTACAACAATACCTGCTGCGTCAACGACACCTACACTGACAAGTGTAGCAATAACTGCATCAACAACAACACCTGCTCTGACAACATCTGCAGCAACAACAACACCCGCTGTGACAACAACACTTGCTCTGGCCACAAGAGCTGGTCAGACAACACCTGCTATGACAACAGCACCTTCTGTGACAACATCTGCAGTAACAACAACTACGTCAACGACACCTGCTCCGGTAACGACTGCAGAAACAACAACACTTGCTCTGGCCACAACACCTGGTCAGACAACACGTGCTGTGACAACAACACCTGCTGTGAAAACATCTGCAGCAACAGCAACTGCGTCAACAACACCTGCTCCAGTAACGACTGCAGAAACGATACCGCTGTTACAACAATACCTGCTGCATCAACGACACCTACACTGACAAGTGTAGCAATAACTGCATCAACAACAACACCTGCTCTGATAACAACTGCTGAAACAATTGCATCAAGTCCAGCAACTGCTTCGACAACAACATCTGCTGCAACAACTATATCAAGTACAACACCTGCTATGTCAACATCTGCATCAACAGCAACTGTGTCAACGACACCTGCTGCAGTAACGACTGCAGAAACGACACCCGCTGTTACAACAATACCTGCTGCGTCAACGACACCTACACTGACAACTGCAGCAACAACTGCATCAACAACAACACTGCTCTGATAACAACTGCTGAAACAATTGCATCAAGTCCAGCAACTGGTTCGACAACAACATCTGCTGCAACAACTATATCAAGTACAACACCTGCTATGACAACATCTGCAGCAACAGCAACTGTGTCAACGACACCTGCTCCAGTAACGACTGCAGAAACGACACCCGCTGTTATAACAATACCTGCTGCCTCAACGACACCTACTCTGACAGCCGCAGCAATAACTGCATCAACAACACCTGCTCTGACAACATCTGCTGCAACAATTACATCAACTACAACAACTGGTCCGACATCAACATCTGCTGTAACAACTGAATCAAATACAGCAACTGCTCCGACAACAACATCTGCTGCAACAGCAGCAACAACCAATGCCATAACAACAGCTTCTTTGACAACAACTGCATCACCAACACCTGCTCAGACCACAACTGCAGCAACAACAAGTGCTCAGACAACAATATCTGCTGCATCTGCAGTAACAGCAACTCCGTCAACAACACCTGCTCAGTAACGACTGAAGTAACGACACCCACTTTTACAACACCTGCTGCATCAACGACACCCACTCTAACAACTGCAGCAACAACTGTATCAACAACAACACCTGCTCTTATAACAACTGCTGAAACAATTGCATCAAGTCCAGCAACTGGTTCGACAACAACATCTGCTGCAACAGCAGCAACAAACAATGCCTTAACAACAGCTTCTTTGACAACAACTGCATCACCAACACCTGCTCAGACCACAACTGCAGCAAAAACAAGTGCTCAGACAACAATATCTGCTGCATCTGCAGTAACAGCAACTCCGTCAACAACACCTGCTCCAGTAACGACTGAAGTAACGACACCCACTTTACAACACCTGCTGCATCAACGACACCCACTCTAACAACTGCAGCAACAACTGCATCAACAACAACACGTGCTCTGATAACAACTGCTGAAACAATTGCATCAAATCCAGCAACTGGTTCGACAACAAATCTGCTGCAACAATTATATCAAGTACAACTCTTGCTATGACAACATCTGCAGCAACAGCAACTGTGTCAACGACACCTGCTGCAGTAACGACTGCAGAAACGACACCCGCTGTTACAACAATACCTGCTGCGTCAATGACACCTACACTGACAAGTGTAGCAATAACTGCATCAACAACAACACCTGCTCTGACAAAATCTGCAGCAACAACACACCCACTGTGACAACAACACTTGCTGCGTCAACGACACCTACACTGACAACTGCAGCAACAACTGCATCAACAACAACACCTGCTCTGATAACAACTGCTGAAACAATTGCATCAAGTCGAGCAACTGGGTTCGACAACAACATCTGCTGCAACAACTATATCAAGTACACCTGCTATGACAACATCTGCAGCAACTGTGTCAACGACACCTGATGCAGTAACGACTGCAGAAACGACACCTGCGGTTACAACAATACCTGCTGCGTCAACGACACCTACACTGACAAGTGTAGCAATAAGTGCATCAACACAACACCTGCTCTGATAACAACTGCTGAAACAATTGCATCAAGTCCAGCAACTGCTTCGACAACAACATCTGCTGCAACAACTATACAAGTACAACACCGCTATGACAACATCTGCAGCAACACTATATCAAGTACAACACCTGCTATGACAACATCTGCAGCAACAGCAACTGTGTCAACGACACCTGGTGCAGTAACGACTGCAGAAACGACACCCGCTGTTACAACAATACCTGCTGCGTCAGCGACACCCACTGACAAGTTAGCAATAACTGCATCACAACAACACCTGCTCTGACAACATCTGCAGCAACAACAACACCCACTGTGACAACAACACTTGCTGCGTCAACGACACCTACACTGACAACTGCAGCAACAACTGCATCAACAACAACACCTGCTCTGATAACAACTGCTGAAACAATTGCATCAAGTACAGCAACTGCCTCGACAACAACATCTGCTGCAACAACTATATCAAGTACACCTGCTATGAACACATCTGCAGCAAAAGCAACTGTGTCAACGACACCTGATGCAGACTGCAGAAACGACACCCACTGTTACAACAATACCTGCTGCGTCAACGACACCTACACTGACAAGTGTAGCAATAACTGCATCACAACAACACCTGCTCTGATAACAACTGCTGAAACAATTGCATCAAGTACAGCAACTGCTCGACAACAACATCTGCTGCAACAACTATATCAAGTACAACACCTGCTATGACAACATCTGCAGCAACAACAACTGTGTCAACGACACCTGCTCCAGTAACGACTGCAGAAACGACACCCGCTGTTACAAACAATACCTGCTGCGTCAACGACACCTACACTGACAAGTGTAGCAATAACTGCATCAACAACAACACCTGCTCTGACAACATCTGCAGCAACAACAACACCCGCTGTGACAACAACACTTGCTCTGGCCACAAGAGCTGGTCAGACAACACTGCTATGACAACAGCACCTTCTGTGACAACATCTGCAGTAACAACAACTACGTCAACGCACCTGCTCCGGTAACGACTGCAGAAACAACAACACTTGCTCTGGCCACAACACCTGGTCAGACAACACTGCTGTGACAACAACACCTGCTGTGAAAACATCTGCAGCAACAGCAACTGCGTCAACAACACCTGCTCCAGTAACGACTGCAGAAACGATACCCCTGTACAACAATACCTGCTGCATCAACGACACCTACACTGACAAGTGTAGCAATAACTGCATCAACAACAACACCGCTCTGATAACAACTGCTGAAACAATTGCATCAAGTCCAGCAACTGCTTCGACAACAACATCTGCTGCAACAACTATATCAAGTACAACACCTGCTATGTCAACATCTGCATCAACAGCAACTGTGTCAACGACACCTGCTGCAGTAACGACTGCAGAAACGACCCCTGTTACAACAATACTGCTGCGTCAACGACACCTACACTGACAACTGAGCACACTGCATCAACAACAACACCTGCTCTGATAACAACTGCTGAAACAATTGCATCAAGTCCAGCAACTGGTTCGACAACAACATCTGCTGCAACAACTATATCAAGTACACACCTGCTATGACAACATCTGCAGCAACAGCAACTGTGTCAACGACACCTGCTCCAGTAACGACTGCAGAAACGACACCCGCTGTTATAACATACCTGCTGCCAACGACACCTACTCTGACAGCCGCAGCAATAACTGCATCAACAACACCTGCTCTGACAACATCTGCTGCAACAATTACATCAACTACAACAACTGGTCCGACATCAACATCTGCTGTAACAACTGAATCAAATACAGCAACTGCTCCGACAACAACATCTGCGCAACAGCAGCAACACCAATGCCATAACAACAGCTTCTTTGACAACAACTGCATCACCAACACCTGCTCAGACCACAACTGCAGCACAACAAGTGCTCAGACAACATATCTGCTGCATCTGCAGTAACAGCAACTCCGTAACAACACCTGCTCCAGTAACGACTGAAGTAACGACACCCACTTTTACAACACCTGCTGCATCAACGACACCCACTCTAACAACTGCAGCAACAACTGTATCAACAACAACACCTGCCTTATAACAACTGCTGAAACATTGCATCAAGTCCAGCAACTGGTTCGACAACAACATCTGCTGCAACAACTTATCAAGTACAACACCTGCTATGACAACATCTGCAGCAACAGCAACTGTGTCAACGACACCTAGTGCAGTAACGACTGCGAAACGACACCCGCTGTTACAACAATACCTGCTGCGTCAACGACACCTACACTGACAAGTGTAGCAATAACTGCATCAACAACAACACCTGCTCTGACAACATCTGCAGCAACACAACACCCGCTGTGACAACAACACTTGCTCTGGCCACAAGACCTGGTCAGACAACACCTGCTATGACAACAGCACCTTCTGTGACAACATCCTGCAGTAACAACAACTACGTCAACGACACCTGCTCCAGTAACGACTGCAGAAACAACAACACTTGCTCTGGCCACAACACCTGGTCAGACAACACGTGCTATGACAACATCAACTGCATCAACAACAACACCTGCTCTGATACAACTGCTGAACAATTGCATCAAGTACAGCAACTGGTTCGACAACAACATCTGCTGCAACAACTATATCAAGTACAACACCTGCTATGACAACATCTGCAGCAACAGACGTGTCAACGACACCTGCTCCAGTAACGACTGCAGAAACGACACCCGCTGTTATAACAATACCTGCTGCATCAACGACACCTACTCTGACAGCCGCAGCAATAACTGCATCAACAACAAAACCTCCTCTGACAACATCTGCAGCAACAGCAAGTGCGTCAACGACACCTGCTCCAGTACGACTGCAGAAATAACACCCACTTTTACAACAATACATGCTGCGTCAACGACACCTACACGACAAATGCAGCAATAAACGCATCAACAACACCTGCTCTGACAACTGCTGCCACAATTTCATCAACTACAACAACTGGTCCGACAACACACTGCTGTAACAACTGAATCAAATACAGCAACTGCTCCGACAACAACATCTGCTGCAACAGCAGCAACAAACAATGCCTTAACCAGCTTCTTTGACAACAACTGCATCACCAACACCTGCTCAGACCACAACTGCAGCAAAAACAAGTGCTCAGACAAACAATATCTGCTGCATCTGCAGTACAGAAACTCCGTCAACAACACCTGCTCCAGTAACGACTGAATAACGACACCCACTTTTACAGCACCTGCTGCATCAAGACACCCACTCTAACAACTGCAGCAACAACTGCATCAACAACAACACGTGCTCTGATAACAACTGCTGAAACAATTGCATCAAATCCAGCAACTGGTTCGACAACAACATCTGCTGCAACAATTATATCAAGTACAACTCCTGCTATGACAACATCTGCAGCAACAGCAACTGTGTCAACGACACCTGCTGCAGTAGCGACTGCAGA